GCGCCGCCAGCGAGCGCGGCAAGGCAGTGGGAGCGCCGCCGGGGGCTGCCCAGAGGCCGGGCCCCCGCACCACTTTGCGCAAACTTGTTTTTCTAAGGGCAGCGGTGGAGCTGGCTACATCGTCCTCTTAAGGTGGACTGGGGAAGTTGCAGCCGACCTCCCCTGGCCTGCGGACTCCGGCTGCGGTCAGTCGCTGCTTTCTGCCGCCAGAAGCTGGAGGCCCAGAAGGGGGGGGGGAGGACAGCCGGGGAGGGGGGGAAGAGGGAAAGACGGGGTGGGGGTCTGGATTTTGCCGCCCCCCAAGTGGCCCTGCCCCCGTGCCCCAAAGCTGAAGGCCCCCCCGGGGGGCGGGGGGAATTGGGAAGGGGTGGGCGAGGGCCACAGAGCCCTGATTTTGTTAGAGCTGGACAGAGGTGAAGGAAAAGCAGGAAGTAAGTGAATGTAGGGGAAGAGGGAGAGGAAGGGGAGAGCGATGGTACAAAAATAGCGTGTGTGTAGGAAGGACTTCAGTACCGCCTGGAAAATAGGCGCAGGGAGGAGAGCGAGAGAGAAGGGGGGCTGTGGCCAGGGAAACCGGAGAGGAAGGGTCCAGGCCTCCCCCGGGAGGTGGGCTCTCCGCCGGTACCTCTGTGTGAGGAATAGTCCATGCAAGGGGTAAGGAAGATCCAGGCAAGGCTGCGTTTTCGAGGGTTGTACTTGAGGGGAAAATGACAGGCAGCCAGAAGATAAAGCAACAGGGAGAAGCAGGGGCAGCAGGCCTGGAGTCCCAGAGGACTGAGCCTCCCAGCGAGCCGGAGCACCCCCCCTACAGCCGCCCCCCCCTTTCCCTTCCGTGAATCCTTGTTTCCATTATCAGCCGGGTCAGTGCTTTGGAATGGGGGCTCTGGTCACCTGACAAAGAAGACTCCAGACTGTTAGAGGGAGTCCTATTTGGAGGGTTTGAGACTTGGAAATAAACAATAACCAATTTCTCACCTCTTGACAAAGAAAATATGAATGAAGTGAGGTAGAAGGACGAGCCCTGTGAACGTAGAGGGAGTTGAAGCACCCAGAGGGAGTGGACTTATTTAAGGCCACACAAACCAGATTTAAGTTCCTTAAGTTCCCAGGCTGAAGACTATTGCAAAATGGTACCCCCAAGCTCCTTCCAGCCAATCGCAGCCTCTGGGTCAAATGTCTAGTCCTGGCACCAAGGCATAGCTGTTGGGAGCATGAGCCAGTCTTCCTGGGTTCAAGTCCCGCTAGTAACCTCTTATGAGCCCTATAGAGTTGAAAAACACCATATCATTTCTGCACCTCTGCTTCCTCCTCTGAAATGAAGACAGCATGAGTATCATCCTTAAAGGACTGGGGTAAGGATTAGGTGAATTAATATTTGTTTAGCACTTTTTAAAATGGCAACATGTACCAGGTGCTACTTAAACCCTTGAGAAATAAGCAAAGCCTTTGACAGCAGTCCTGGGAGCACCATAGGGTTCTGGGCATCAGTGAGGGTACAAAAGGGATTTTCATTCCTCTGGGTTTGGGAGCTACAGCAGTGACCCACACCAGGTCCTTGTCCATGAAGATTTACATTCCAGTGGGGAGACAGATAAGCAGACAAGTAGAAATAATTAATGAACAACAGAAGATTGAGTTTGAGAGTGAGAAGGGTGAGCTCATTTAGATAAGGGTAAAGCCTCCCTGGGAAATCAGGAACTGAATCATAAGAAGGGGCAGCAAGGTGAGGGTTTGGAAATTTGCTGTCCGGGAAGAAGGCATAGCATATATAAAGGTCCTGGGGCCAGCTTGGCTGGCAGGGGATGAGTGAAGGATGGGGGAGGTGTCCAGCTGGGTGGCCTGGCATCTGGTAAAAGCCTGCATTTATTCTGCAGATGGGAAACCACTGGATGGTTTTAAACAAGGAAACACCATGTTCTGATGTATGTGCTTAAAATGCCACTCTCGCTGCTAGTGGAGAGTGAGCTGGAGGAAAGGGAGCATGAGATGAGGACCCCAGTGAGGACGCTGTTCTGAGGTCCTCTAGTATATGGGGACTGGGGGAAGGGAATGTGAGGAGTCCCCACCTCTTCAGGGTTCTGGCTAAGATGCTAGCTGTGGCCCCCGCCACCTGAATCCCTCTGGGTGGGAGAAGTGTTAGGGACCACTGATGAAGGTCAGAGGCAAGCAGCCTCCTGGCCTGTGCTTCCAGAAGGCTTTGCCCACTTTCCCCAGAACACACACACAGCCTGTCCGGGATTAGGAAACTGCAGATTAGGGAAGGATAATGATGGAAGCACCTGCTGTTTATATATAGCAAAGGCATCCAGGAGGGCCTCCCACCAGGGGTTGTTTTCATCCTCACCACCCCCCACCGCCCCCCACCCCCCCACCCCCCCTCCAGGAGGAGGCACTGCACCTCATTCACCACATAAACCCTTGGGCTATCCTCCAGGCTGGGGGTTTGTTGAAGCCAGTGGGCAGCTGCCTTCCCCTAAGGTGAGAGGACAACTTGCCTGGGGTCACACTGACTGACTGTGGCAGGTAACTGAGGAGAATCAGCACCACCATAGTCAGTGTCCTGGGCTGCCTGGATTAAAATCAAATTACCTTCATATAACCCCATTCATTCATGCGCTTACAATGGCTATGAGGTGTCTCCTATATGCCAGGCAGGGGATGCAGAGGTGGGGAAAAGACAAAAACCCTGCCCCAAGGAGCTGGCATTCTAGTGGGGCAAACAAGTAAGTCAGCATGGAAAATATTCTGTCTGATGGGAAATCAGATGATGGGGAAATCCAGGAGATAGGGAACTAGAGGCCTCCTCATCCCTGCTTTACTCCTTGACTCTTCCCTGTCACTTCCTGAGGCCATCCAGTCAGCAAATTCCACAGCTCTGCCTTCCTGTTCAGCCAGAACTAAACCCCTTTGTGCGTGCCACTCCCGCTGAGGGTCAGTCCACCGCTTACCATCAACCCCTGAGCACCCGCTGCCCCCCCCCCACCTGCTTCCTATCTCTGTTCCACACTGCAGTCAGAGGTCTCCTTTCCTTGAAGTCAAATGATGTCCCTCCACTGTTGTCTACTGGCGAGAAGTCTTGAAGGAGCACATGCAGGAAGCCAAGATTCTGCCAACTTGACTTTTGCGGCTTGGGGAAAAATTTTATGAGCCTCAGTCTCTTCATCTGTGAAACAGGAATAACAAGGTCTACCCCATGTGAGAGCAGCCTGATGAGCAAGGCCTGGAGCACCTCTGGGGTGGGGTGTTGGAGCCCCTCTGTGGACCAGGCCTTAGGTGTGCACGGGGTCACAGAAGCCCAGAGGCAGAAAGCCGGGGCCCAGGATCACTCTGCCCGATGGAACATCCTGGAACCCAGCTGCAGGGAGCCGCTTGCTGGCTCCAGCCCTGCGCGGCTCCACTCTTCCCGTAACCCTGGGCTGGCCAGCCTGCCTTTGTGTGGCCTGGCCTGTCAAGAGCTGGAACTGCCAACGACCTATTTTTCTGGGCAAGAATGGCCTTTTGGAGTCAGAGGCCTCAGCTGTGGGGCCAGAATAACAAAAATAAAAACAGCAAGAACTCCTAGGCATCAGGACCTGGGAAGGAACTATCCTGGAGGGGGCAGCTGACAGGCTGGACAGGACCACAGCAGTGCAGGGCCACAGCAAGTGACTGAACCAGTTAGGGCTGGAACGCGGGTCACCGCTGAGTGGCAAGTTCCCATTTGTTTAGCATCTACTCTGTGTGTTCTTGAGGCAAGTTCATACATAGCTGGGAGGCGGGGGCTTATGACCCCGTCCTCATTTTGTACCTGACAAAGCTATCTCAGAGCGGTCTCCGCTCAAGCTCCCCTTCTAAGAGAGGTCTTGCCAGGCCGCCCATTAAAGTAGCCTCCTCTCTCCCCATCCACTTTGCGCCCTCTGCGACTTTATTTTGTCTTCATAACCTGCACCACAGCCTGCCAGCTGTGCCTCCTTTCTGCATCCTGTCCACCTCCTTAACCAGCCACAGGTCATGCAGCCTGGTCCAGTGTCTGGCTGGACCCTGGAAGCACATCTATGGCACATGCCCAGCACTGCCTCGAACTTGCTGTGGGGCAGGTTGCGCCACCCCTCTGAGCCTTGATAAA